TGATAAGTTCTCTTTATTTGCAGACTGTTACTTTCTTTAAATCGCACTTTTTTTTCTTTCAATTGACTGTATGATTTGATCCTCTTTTTTTTTTTTTGCTCATGGCAGGTCCCTCCCAGAAACATGATCCGAAGGTAATGGGCATAGGTAGATGAGAAATAGACTCAGAGATGGCAGTATCATCGAGTGTAGACCAAAACGATAGGTAAATTGTTTTTCAACTGTGTTGGGCTGAAGATCCCCTCTATAATAGAATTTGTTTTTACCTCAGGTGCAATATTGAGGTTCAGTCATTCTGTAACTTCTACTTTTGTTCTTTCTACACTTTTTTGTTTCCTAATGTGGTCTCGGTTCTTTGTTTTACCTTTTTGGCGGTGTTTTGCAGTACCAATAGGGAATGAGTTGCAGATGCAGTTGAGAGGACGAGAGCTAAATATTGTTGTTCTAAGATGAGGAGGAGAAGGTAATGTTAAAGCTTCCTATAACGGAATTCCATTTAGTCCATGTTTCCATCTCCTTCTTGATCATTTCCCTCCTTTTTATGCATTCCTTCCATAAACCTAGAGATACAAAATATTGTCATTGCTCATGTCAGTATGTTTGGATCTCAAGTGTCATCCCCAGTAGATCACCAACTAGACGAGCTTATGAAGAGAGGTTTATCAGTTTAGTTCCCGATATTACTTTCAATTATCGTTCCTAAAATTGAGATATGTTTCGCTCAATGTACTTTTTCCAAACTTAAGATAATGGTTTATCACAATGTCCAGTGACTCCCATAATGTGTTCAGTATGCTCTGTGAATTATTCATTGTGCTCATAGCTTCTCATTCTTACTCTTCTTTTTTTGTGCAGTGGCTTCTCTATTGTTGATTCATGCTGCTTCATGGTTAGTTTTCTTCTCATGGAAATTAGCTTTCGTAGTCCTTGCTTGCTTGCTTATGCTTTAATTTGTACGCTTTGTTATCATTTATCTAACAACCTCCCATTGCCTATGCAGTAAGGACAAGACCGCTGCATCTTCTCTTGCTTCATCATGTTAAACCAGTCCGGTCTCGAACTTTTGTTCCTATGAATCCAGTTTTAAGACGTCTTATGTGTTATGTTCCAGGAAGTCCTTGCTCAATTTGCCTTCCCAACTTCCTTTCCTCGATGCCTTTCTCATCTGAATCCTTATATTAGTAAAATAGATAGAATTGTTGCACCGCTGCTGTCATGGATTTGCTAACTTGAACAATTTTATCTTTTTTTACTTTCTTTATTCTATAAATTGACCAGTTTATAACTTTCTCTACTGTCATCTCATGTAGACTTTGTGGTTACCATATTCTTATCATAATGGAATATGTTTATTTTTCTCATGATGTGAAATTATTTTAATGATCAAGCAACCATATGAAGACAAAAAAAACCCCTACTATATCTGCTAGATAATGAGTTAAAGTTTGATCAATGTTAAGTGGCTGATTGCCTGCTATCAAATCCTAAAAAACTGTGGAGTTGGTAGATGATTCATATTTTCGATTGTGTTCAATTTATTTTTTCATGCACCTTATAGATTTATAGAGGTGGTATGACAATGCTATGTTTTTAAAATGACTTAATCTCCTTTCCTTTACCTATGGACTCTGCTGGTCTGTCGTTTCAGAATTTCAGTTAGGTAGGTGATTCTTCCTTATTCACCGATCTCACTCCCCTTTCGCGGCCTGCGTCATGGGACTTGCAAAGCTCCTTTACATGCTATATTGTTGACCTTCAATGGTTTCAACAATCATCCCAACAGTTGAGTCCCGCCGCGCAGCGCGGGTTTTCCGTTCTAGTACCTCATTAATAGCTCATTAGTCAAGTTTATAATTTATAATAGATGTTTTGTACGCTAATTAAGCAGCGAGCATTTTGCTTACGCTCTGTTTGGCAACAAGGGGGGTGCAAATTGCAGGAGGGTGCAAGTTGAGGGGTAAATTGTTGGGGGGTGCAAATTGCTGGGGGGTGTAAGTGGAGGGGTAAATTGTTGTTTGGATGAAAAAGTAGGGGGGTGCAAATAGAGTGAAAAGTAAGTAATTATATTATTTTAAAATAGATTTTAAAAATAAATTTTAGATTACAAAATAGATTTTAAAATTTTAAAATATTATCATAAAATAATAAAATAAATATTATTATATAATAATAAATATACTTTACTAAAAATAGTTATTATATAATAATGCTCAAATAATAATTAATTATGACAATTGTATAATCATTGATCGAGCGATCTCAAAACTCGAAGCTCAACTTGTAACTGGTCATCCTATATAGGGTTTTCGTGTCTAGCTTAATTTTAAATTGTCAAACTTAGTCAAACACGTTCGAATTTGTAAGTTTTAACTATTTATTCAAATAAACTGAGTTAACCAAACAATTTCTCTCTATCTTTTTCACAAACACCTCGTATCTCTAATTTTCAATGCAAATTCGATTCAACCAAGAGATCTAGATTTGACTTGACGAACATTGATAAACTTGTTTCCCGAGTCAAATGGTCAACCCCGAATAATGTTTACATTAATGATATTTATAAAAAGAAGAAATTGATAATATTAATTATTATATAATTATATATAACACAATTAGAAAAACAAAATTTCATAATTCCCCCTCCCCCTCTCTTCCTTCCTTCCCTTGCACCCCAATTTGGGGGGTAAGCCGAAACAGTAAATTTGCACTCCCGTTTTGCACCCCCTACTGTTCCAAATTAACCAAACAGGTGCAAATGTGTTGGAAACTGTATTTACCCCTCACATTTGCACCCTCCTCCCATTTACCCCTCTTCCCAAACAGAGTGTTAGAGTTGACATTGGGTTTACTCTTCTATCCGAACCGATTCAAACAGTTGGGTTTTGATTTTATTGGGTGGGTTTGGGTTTCATGTTGTGTAAACCGTGGTGTATGGGTTGGGTGACGAAAGTGATCAAAATCCAACCCATGTACACCCCTAATTATAGGAGTCGGTTATAGTACTCTATATAAATCCTATGCGATTTCAGAAACAAGACACAACAATTCCACCAAATTCTTATTTACCGGTAGTTCCGCTAGCTAAAGAGTCCTTGTAGGTTGACGGAAGCCATCCTAACCAATCGACAACACGAACAGGCCGCTGTTTTCAAGGATGTAATGAAAACTAAAAAAGTTGTTGGGTAGAATGGGGAGTCCATCCAAAATTCCCGAAGTCCGCTATTTAGACCGACCACCTCCTCGATCGATCGACGCCTATTTGTTCCTCTCCTGCTCTCGGTTCAAGAAAGACAAGAATTTGGTCGGCCAGAGGAGAAAATCGGGGATACTGGTGGCGTCAACAACCAAAACGACCAGGAAAACCGCCTTCACCCTCCTCTCTTCATTCGGACCACCATCATACTGACTGCTACGGTAGGGCAGGGAGTCTCCTCTGCAGTCCAACGCCCCTTCCGCTTTGAGGTAGGATATGTCATAACCATTTGGTCCCAATAACTCGAGTTTGTGTTTCAATTGTGAATCATACACCACACACTACTACGCCCCCTCAAACGAAAGTCACTCACAAGGGCTAGAGGTTTGCACAGGTCAGAATACCATGTGCTTAACAAATGGGGGTTACCAGGATTCGAACACAAGACCTCTCGATCACAGAATGCTCTAATATCATGTCATAACCAGTTGGTCCCAATAACTCGAGTTGTTAGGACTTAGGAGAGATTCAATTGTGTATCATATACCAGAAACTAACACTGTCATAAAACCAGTTGGTCCCAATAACTCGAGTTGTTGGGACCATTTGGTTTATGACATGGTATCAGAGCTGGTTTGGCCAAGTTGTCGTGTGTTTGAATATCCACGACCCCCAATATTAACTGTTGGTTAAAGCACAATGTATGGTGGGCGTTTGCAAACTTCAAGCATGCGAGTTGGCTTTCGTTTGAGGGGGCGTGTAATAGTGTGGTATAAGATCCAATATAACCTTCTCCCAACAACTCGGGTTATTGGGTCCAACTAGTTTATGACATGGTATCAGAGCATAACCCTCTCCCAACAATTCGGGTTATTGGGTCCAACTGGTTTATGACAAGATAGACTTCTGCATTGGCAGGGAACTGGGGCTCGGATAGACCGCTACATTGGGTATTGGCTTATAATCATAGATATAGTAGTATAGTGTTATTGAGATCTCGTCCATCCTACCACTTACTTATGGAGGTTATTCATCATAACATACTTCATCCAAAATTTTCAGCTTTTTGAGTAATTTTATGAGGGATATTTTTGTCAACAAATTATTAGTAATTAAATAATTATCATGAATCTAAAAAAAAATCAATGTTTCCTACTTTTTCTATCATTCCCAAAGTTTCCGCAAGAAAAGCTTCCTCATTCATTTTCTCCATATAGAATTTGGGATAATTAATAGTGATTATTTTTACATGAATTTAATCAAGTTTTTTAGAACGCAAGTATACCAATGATAGGAATTCTAGACTAATGGCAGGCCTAGCCCAAAACTAGAACTAATTAAACGCGATACAATTATAGGTATACCGTAATTATTATTTTGTTAAATAAGAGTATAACTAATAAGAGATTACTTATCCTATTATATTTAGGTTAATACATTATTTTAGATTAAAATTCACTTCAATTTCATGTTGTTGATTGAAAATCAATAGAAATTAGAAAGAAGTAAAAAATAAATTTTATAGTAAATTTTGACAAAAAGAAGTAAATAAATCAAAGTGTGGTTTTGTAAAATTTTGTAAGAGTCGATTTCATTACATGAGTTTTTTTAACTATTTGTAAATGAATCATTTAGGATGTTCGAGACCTCAATATCAAATAAAAATTATCTTACTTCACACAATTATCATTATTGATTATGTATCATTGACGAAATATATCCGTCCAATGGGCGGACCCAAATCTAGTCTATAATCATAGATATATTTTTCTTCAATTATGAGCTCAAAGTTTGATCATTGCCAATAGAGCTGGATAATTATCTATTGAATCACTCATGCCAATGGTGAATATCTTTTTTCTTTTATAAGGGTGATATAGATTTTATTTTGTTGTTATTAAGGTACTATTTAAAGGATTCGAACCTGTGACCTCCAAGTTCTAGGCTAGTGGTATTACCATTAGAGCAAACCCTTGTTCGTCAATGGTGAATATCTTTAACAAGAGTTACTAGAAAAAGGGAAAATTAACATAAAATTGAACTATGAGAAATTGGAAGTTAAAAATATTCATATAAAATTGAAGTCACAAGTATTCATCTAGAATGGAAGACACAAAGAGACGAAATATGAAGAAAATACAATTGTCGGCAATGTTCTGATTGCTCTATAAGTCCATGCTTTATGCAACATTCATCATAATCTCATTTGCATTTCACCAACGACCCACCCTGCAACATATTAAAATTACACACAGATCACATCGTACAACTCCTACTAAATTCCACAATAAAATTATTACGTTAAATTTATGAACAAAGGACACTTTATTCGTCACACTTTACTGCGTCAACCAATCCCAAGTTCCTAAAATATTGAATTTGTCTACAAAAATCTTAGTGATACTTAGCATTTCCGAAATCCGAAAAGCAATAACATAACCGTTGGAGAGTAATAACGAACCGGTCATCAATAATAATAAAAAAAAAAACTCACCACGCAAGCACGAACATCGTGACATCCACACAACATTTCTCCATTCAACTTATCCACCGCCTCAAACACTCCTCCCCCGTTACTCCTCTGCCAAAACCCCAAATCAATTCAGCAACCTAATTGCTTAACTAACAACATCCAACCGTATTACCACTTAATTACGATTTTGATTACCTTGTAATAATCAACCGCAACAAAGTTAGCCCATCTATTCCCAGCTGAGAGATAACATTTCCCAAGCATCTCCATCAATCCCCTCGAATTGTACCGACACGAGACATCTGCCACTGGTACTGTCCCAAAATAGTTCACAAGTACCAAACTTCTGGTCTTGTCGCCCAACGGCGCTGACTCTCTTCTGTTTCTGCAATTTCCCGTCAACCCACCACTCCCATCTGCCAAAAAAAAAAAAAAAATCCAGATTTACCTTCTCAATCTAGTTTCCCTTTTGAGAAAAAGAGTAAGAACATAGAAGGAATGGCTTACATTGAGTTTCGACCATGAAGTTCCATTGATAAGCTATTCCTTCAGCTTGTTGCTTGGATCGATCAGATGTGAAGACTATCAACTTCTGGTTACTGGCAACCATGTCCTTCACTGAGGGCCAGTCTTTGCCACCTTGAGGCATTTTGGAGAGAGGAAACCAGTATTTTTTCAAGCCAGAGGACTCGAAAATTCGTGACAGGCCATTTGGGGTTTTGACGTTATCTTCTAAGATCAGAGTTACAATCTCTGATGGGTTTGATGACATGAATGCCTCTATTTCTTTCAATGTCTCCATTGCAGGTTCCTGGTTCCAAGTACCATGAATAGTAGGATTGAATGCAAAATCGTAGAATTTTAAGTACCATGTAAAAATTAATTAAGACTTAAAACACTTTGGATAGTGTTAAGAAGACAAATCCTGAATAATACTCAATCATGATGACTTTTCGAGATAATTGTACCAAATTGACACGAATATTATCCAAATTACAACAATTGAACTCAAATGTATCCATATTCCCAAACCATGTTTTTTCGACTCCTATAAGCAGTTCTTTTCTCTTTCGATTATTTTGCATTGGATGTAGAATCAGCAGTCAATGGAGGCCATGGGTCGATGGCCATCGTTGTTCGGAAGTGGTGAATCGGTGATGATTAATAAGTTGATGACGATTGATGGTGGCCAATGAAAGATAACGAGATGAATTTGATGGAGGAAAAGGGGAGAAGGGGGGTGGGGGGGGGGGAGGAGGGGTTTAGCTAAGCTAATTTAGAGGATAAAGAAGTAAAATTGACCAAAAAATTTGATCTGATTTCATTAACTTGGTTCGATTTGTGCAAATTCGATCAATTCAATCTGGTATTTAAAATAGTTAAAATCCTATGAAAATCTAAAATTTAAGGATTTTAATTTTTAAGAATTTAAATTGTGAATAGTGTAGGATTTATAGGTCCCATGAGTTTTACAGTGAATTCAGAATCAAAATAAGTGAATACGACATTAAAATGGTAGGATTTAAATTGAGATTTTAACGAAATTTAAGGAGAATAGAGCAAGGGTTTACATAGGGGAACTCACAAAAGCTGTGTAATCACGACATTTCCCCCTGAATGAATGGCACAACCAGATTCCACCCTTGAAGTCATATAAATCCAGCATCAGTGCTCTGACTCCGTGCTGCATAAGGATTAGTACCCAGATAATTTGATCAAAAGGGTCATCACCATTTATGGACACAATTTAAGCGATAACACTTATAATCTCCTCAAGCAAATCTACATTTAGCTGTTGGGTGACAGAGTCCTCCTGACTTGTAGTAGTAACCCTAGGGATTCCAGTGCCGGGTGGCTCTCCTCTAATGGCAAACGAGTTGTGGGTGGTCAAGAATGCATACTTGTTAAAAGGCAGAGAATTGTTCTACAAAAACAGGGGGGAAAAAGGGTATCAAGGGGAATTCAAAACCATGGGGAAAAAAATAAAATAAAAATTAAACTAGATAGTGGGAAGATATGTATGTACCAGAAGCTTGAACTGGTCTGCTATGGTTGATCTAACACATCTGGAGCCATTGAAGGCCAGAGAGCAAGACAAACAGTAGAGCCCCGCCGCGCAATCTCTGTTGTTCGAGCATCCATCTCGGAGCTTTTAATCAAAACACAAATGCAGAAATTGATTAAGGGTTGGTATCGGGATTGATTATGCTGCTGTAATTATATATGAACAGACCTGGCATTGGCCATTTGAGCAACCTGCGGCTGATTGAAGTATGGTTGGTGTAGAATTGGCAGAAACATTGTTGGTGGTGCTGCTGCTGCTGATGAAGAAAACTAGTAGTGGAATCAAGAGTTTCGTTGATGCAGCCATGACCTGCAGGCAGCAGCTAGCCTTCTGTCTTCAAGTGTTTATGTATCAATTCCTCTGAAGCTGGCTTGGGTGTCATCCTTCAACTCTTCCACCAAACCTTCATTTCTCGGCATGAAGGCCACGTTACCAGCCATCTTCATTGCCAACGCTAGCTTTTGCTCAAGGTTTTCTGGGACCAGACAGAACAGAATGAGTTAGAGAGAAACTGCCAAGGTCTCACTGTTAGGCTCCAGACAAACCTTGGAAAACTATGTCCTTCCGTTAATGGACCCAATTCAAAATTTAACGTTACCCACGTGTAATACTGTATACCACGAAAGTTATATGTGTTGCCAAACACCATTGATTGAATATGGTGAATGTAGGTTTGGTTGTTTTCCCCCTTCAGACCGAACGAACCAGATATCACAGCTAGATTTTCTCATCCGAGTATCGACAAAACACTTCTGGACCCAATGAATTGGGCCCGGTGGACTGGGTCTAGCCAATTTAAGGGCAGCATCGCTTGACGGCCCGGGGTTAATTAGGTGGCTTTCGCAGCAAGGTTTGGTCGTCTCCATTTACAATTTTTTAGGGCTTTTCTCTCTCTCAACTCTCAAATCATTGAATTTCACCTACTAACACGAGCTCTAAAACGGGAACGGGAGAAAGTAAGAAACCATCCCAACGGAGAAATTGGAGCCAATGTGATTGGTTCATTTCAGAGAATAATCATACAACAAATTCCAAAAAAGGACCTCGTGTCCAACCGAGAGAGCCGCTCTGTTTCTTCCTCGTCACAGCTATGCCGGAACTCACCAAGCTCTATTCGATGCAGGAAGCCTCCGAGCACACCTCCAAGGAAGATTGCTGGATCGTCATTGATGGGAAGGTGCCTCTCTCTCTCTCTCTCTCTCTTTCTCTTTCTCTGTATCTCGTATCTCCTCCCTATTTCATATGACTAGGTTTTGGGGAGGATCTGTTTGTTGACTTCGCGTTTAATGGTTTCTCGCATTGGTTCGTCCGATTCCTATCTTGCTGTTGTTTGAGCTCCCACCAATTTCTGAGTGTGGGGTTTCCTCCCTATTCTCAACTGGGTTGCAGCTGGAACTTCTTTTTTGTGCTTGTTTTGGTTATGCTGGTTTGGCTTTGAAGCTCGAATTGTTGGGTTCTGGTGAAATTGTGCATTTCTGCCTCAGGAACTATTTCAAACTTTGATTTGTGAGGTCTTGTATTGCGAGGAGATTCAATTTGGGTGGTCTTACTATTTCCCTTTTGGAAAGTTGAGAATAAGAAATGTTAGGAACATGGAAGACAACCAACTTTGAGGAGAACCCTGAAGAAGAAAGAATGGGGTGGGTTTACTCCCCGAATCTCTAGTTTCTTTCTTAAACAGGGAATTGTGGGTAGATTCTCTTTTTTCACTTTTCCATCTTTCGTGACCGGAGATCCCTGGCTCTTGTTGACATCAGTGGTGTAATTTAAGATCTTCTAACTACGACTCTGCACTCCTAGTTGGAGTTCAATGAATTCAAGTTGTCTATTTGAAATGAATAAGATGAAACACTGACTATTGTGCGCTAGTGGAGCTGATCGGTGGTGTTTAAATTGGTTGTTAGCTGCAAAAGCTTCAGTATCTGAACTTTCTTTGTTACCTTGCTGTAGTTTGACTTCTGACATAATATGCCTGGATTAGAGCAAGCTGAAGTTGGTAGTTGCCTCTTTATTTCAACCTTTGTAACCAGACGAGTTGTATGGTGATGATGCATCAGAGAACTACTGTCACAACAACCAAGTCGAGTTACAGTCAGCAGTAGTTCAGGGTACACTTGATTTTATACGTTTTCATCAAAATCTTCCTTATAAAACAACAAGCTAGAACAATATGCATCCTGGCAATGTGAGAATATAGAAAAAGATTGGGGTTTGCAGTTGCATTGGTATATAATTAATTCATTGCACCAACCATCAAGTTGCCATGGATAAGAGACCTTTCTAATTCCTTCTATGGAAATTACCAGGTTTACGATGTGAGCTCGTACTTAGATGATCACCCAGGTGGAGACGAAGTCATCCTTCAAGCAACAGGTACTCCTTCCCTCCAACAGGTACTTAATTCATTTGGTAACGGACCTGTCCCCTTAAACATCATGTTAAAAAACACCATTGCGTTCTTTTTAATGAAGGGAAAGATGCGACAGACGATTTCGAGGACATTGGGCACAGCCAAGACGCGAGGGACCAGCTGAAAACCTTCTGCATAGGGGAGCTAGATACATCGACTGCACCACCAGCCATCCCAGAACTCACAATTGTCTCCAAAGGCCAGACATCATCAGATACCGTGAAGAAGCTCAAGGACTTGACGAAACAGTACTGGGTTGTACCTGTAGCAGTAGTCGGCATCTCTGCGGTGGTTGGCGGCATCTTGTACTCGCGTAAGAAGTAGAATCCTTCCCTTCTATGACAACATCTCTCCATCACTTTCTTAAAATGTTGCCGCAACAAAAATTTTGGAACTACTGCACAATGATTATTTGGAAAGTGGCTCTCGTCTCCACCATTTCCTGTAGTTTTTACTTTTTACTTTGTTACAGTTCGATTGTCCAGCAAGATTGAATCATATGAATGAGTGCTGAAGAAGCTTTAATTATGGTTTGTGATGGATCATTTGATGTCGGTATGGTTTCTCTTGTATTTAGAGGAAGCATATACTAATGGTTGTTGACGCCTAGATTTGATTGCAATTAATAGTTGGGTGAGCATCCTGAGGATTGTTACAGATGATAATTACCAATTTGGAACTGTGATAATAACCTTTCTATATAGCTAATTGTAGTTTTCTTTAGAATTTATACTTCTGGGCTTCTGGCATCTCATAGGGTGGTCGAGATTACTAATTTGGTGTTCTCAAGTTTCACTTAGCATGATAACATCACATCTCTAGAAATTACTACTTTCTTTAGTAGTAGAGAGTAGAGACTTCAGGAATAATTTTTTAAAGATTAAGGCACAGAAGAAAAACATAATTATTTGGTAAATGTTTAGAGAAAGTAAAGTTGATAGGATATAATATATTTCTTATTCATAGAATGTCTGGGACCTTAGCGCGATTAGCATGAGAAAGAGAGAAAAATTGAAAGTAGTGAAGTAGTAGTGAAGAAATGTGATGTTTTATAGTGAAAATTGAATATAGCTATTGGAAGTTGAAATAGTGGTCGAAAGAATTTGGAGATTGAAAATAAAAATTATTTTTTAATATATAAATGGCTATGTCGAAAGGACAGGCCCACAGGATGCGCGGGCAACATCGATGCTAACTCGTACAAAACCTTCTCTCTCTAACTTTCAAAACCTCTCGCCTCTCTCTAGCTTTCTTCCCCTCTGTTTTTTCAGTGGCCGCCGGCGGCACCTTCTGATGACCAGCGGCGACCCATCCTCTTTTTTTCCGTCTTTCCTTTCTGCTTTTCAGTCTATTGTTGTCCCTTCCATCCTCTTGTGGGACTTCTTTTTTCCACGCCTCTCTTGCAGATGGCTGCTTCTGCATCCTACTCATCTTTCTTGCTTCTGCTTCCCCTTAGACTGCCTTCTCCTTCATGTTTCTGTTCCTCCTCCTTGCTTCATCTCTTTGGTCGGGCGTTTCAGAGAAGATCTGGGAATCCTATTGCGATCATCCCGCGGTTTCAGTCTCATGAAGCTCGCAGGCGAGAATCACTCCATTTGGGCTCCTGCCTCCTAATCATCTTTCTTCCTGAGGATTGTACTTTCGTGGTGGAGGTGGTCTTTCTCTCACTGGGTGGCTTGGGTTTTCAGTGGGTCCAGGCGTGGTTGGTGTGAGCTCTTGGTCGGCTGTCCTGCTGCTTTCCCGTCGACGGTGGTGAAAACTCTCTTGTGTGGCTGCTGCCCCTCCTCTTTTGGAAGATGGATTAGGTTTTAGGGTTTACTCTTCAAACTTGCATCTGTATTGGGCTTTGCTTTGCACATGTTTGGTTTGTTTGGTGGGTCTTAGACCTAGTGTTGTGTTTCTTCCATGGGGTATAGGACCAAAATCTGTACAATTTGGATTCATTTCATGAATACCCCCTTTCAAAAAAAAAAAAAAAAAAGGCAACACCAATGCCAACACGCCTTCCTTCCCCGCATACTAGTGCGACTCAACTCCCTGCCCCAGTGTGACTGCCAAGGAGAAACATCGTGGGGGATAGGGTGAAAATCGGTCCAAATACCGTAATTGTGAATATCAAATGTACCTTAAGCTCAATCACAATCCCAAAATAAATTCGGTATCCCAATTCCTAAAGTTTTGTTCGGTAACGATATATTCCAAATACCAAATTAATTCTCTTCAAAATTATAAATCAAATATACAAACATAAATACTTCTCCTCTGCCAATAGTTTCACACACCATTTTCAAAATATATAAAAACAAACACCTGTGCCAACACTCATGCAAAACGAATGAGAAAAAAAAAATCTAAAGTACAATAACAACAAACTTGAAAATGTGGTGCCAAGATGCACATTGACAAACTAAAGCAACAAAATGAATCAAGGGACAACTAAGTAGCCCGTAAACATACTACAAGTAATAAAAATGAGTTTGGTATGGGTCGTCAAATAGTGAGGGAATGATATATCATAATGTATAATTAAGTGACCATCTTGGTGGTTGATGATATTTTAGTAGTGAGTTATGGGTGGTCAAATATTGAGTGGGAGGGATAAAATACCCATGAACTTATATTTCAATATTGATCGATATTTCAGTATATACCAATCACAATCTCGTAATAGTTAATACCAAATAGCACCTTGAAATTCTATTTCAATCTCATGAAATAATACTTGTATTCAGTTATATGAAATATCAACAAATTTGATATGGAATTCAGTATATCCCAAATATGGGTATCAAACTTCCATCCCTGTTCATACTCCATTTTTTTTACACTTAAGCATTTTCCAATGCAGATTGGAAGAGGTTTTGTGCTACCTTTTGACTTTCTAACTCCTTATTGGAGATGGCCTAAGTAGCAAAATGGTAAAGTTCCAGAAATGGATGTACATGGCTTAACTATCCTTGTGAGTGTGCGAGAGCCACTCACGCACATGGCCTCCATAACCTTCATTATGTATAATGCTAATTACTTTTATGGAGTATTGAGTTTTAATTATACATTCATAAAAAGTTAATGTATTCAATTTTGATTATGTGTCTTATACAATAAAAAATAATCTCAAAGTCTAAAATAACGAATGACATATGAAAGAAAAAATTTGCTTTCTTATTATACTATTTTTTTTTTGTCGAAAAGATACTTGCATTAACAAGACAAAAGAGTTACATGAAACCAATCTCCGAGCACAACCACGCCCGAAAATCAAAACCAAACCATCCCATAGGAAACAAATCGAGGACTTTTTTGGCCACCAAATGGGCCACCCTATTGTTCTGTCTACCTACAAACATCACTCTAAACCCAGCATTAGCTCCCAGCAGCCGACAGATTTCCTGAAGGATAGCCCCGGCCTTCGCGTCCCTAACAGTCCCCCCATTAACTTTGTCGATCACCACCTTCGCATCGCCGACAAACTGGACAGCCGAAAGACCAGCCTCCGCACACCAGCACAGTGCATCTCGAAGAGCCATTGCCTCCATCAACATCGGATCAACCATACCGGGGAGACACGATCCCCTTGCCATTAGGATCCCACCGGCCTCATCCTGCAGAACAATCCCCACTGACCCATGCGACCCAGTAGAAATCGCCCCATCAAAGGCGCACCTATACACACCCAGCTCAATCCCCGGCACAACCATCTGCACTACTGGAGCATTTTCTCGCCCACTACCCGGAGACAAACTATCTATCCATTCCTGAACCTGAAATCTGAATTGCCTTTCCAGTACTAAGAAAGTATCCTGCTGTCCCTCAAAGGCCACCAAGTTTCGAGACTTCCAAATCCGCCAGAGAAGACAAACCAGAAGAACCACCCGTACTGGAGAGGAATCCTGCTCTAAGAAGCCTCGAAAGAAAATAGGAAACGCTTGGTCTTGACCAATCACCCAGTCATTCCTCAGGCCTGACATCTCCCACCTGGCCACCGCCACAGGGCACGAAAAAAACAAATGCTATACTATTTTTTCAAACCATATAAGCGAACACATTCTTTATCCTGTTTTTCTAGAGATAATTAGAGAGATGAGATTGCTTATGCCTATTATTATTAACTTTTTTTTTGCATAGATAGATCATAATAGATAGGATGTTACAATACGGTGAAAATGAAAAAGCGGTAGTCAACCAAATGGGTTGCTACTGATACAAGGGCCGTTTGTGCCACGCAATGGGCAGCCCTGTTAGTATGCCAAGAAACATAAAAAAAATGAATAAACGCAAAAGAAAACTTCTTTCGACAAACTTCTTGAAGAACCTTCTATAAGCCGAGTTATGCCGAATACAAAACCTGCAATGCAACACCCAGCAAAAATACCAAATACAAGTGTATAATTAAATATATTATTGAAAAAGGGGGGATCCGAGGATCGCTTAGAACCCGATTTTCCCAGGTCATGGGGGGATCAAGGTGATCGCTTAAGTCCCCATTTCCTTAGACATGCATTTCTTTATAAAGAGTCTAAATAAGTGTTGTATTGCAACCATACACTCCATACTTTTATACAGTTGAAAAAATTTACAGATAGACAATTAATTAGAACGCTTACCAATCCACCATAGACTGTCAGCAAGCTTCTTTCGCTTGAAATGATGGTTCCAGTTGCTTTTGAAATGCCGGATGCACCATCTCTGTGACCAGTTCCAGGCTGGATCCAAGCCTAAGATAGCAGCCAGTATACCGGCATGGCGATCTGAGATGATAGTCAGGTTCGTCCGCCTGGTGACATGGAGCTGAATTTGTCTGAAGAACCATCCATAGCTATTGGTATTCTCTCCCTCCACAATGGCGAAGGCTAATGGATATACTAATCTATTTGCATCTGCTCCGCTGGCAATCAGTAGAGTACCCTTGTACTTGCCGGTAAGGAATGTTCCATCAACTTGAATCACAGGAACACAGTATGGAAAACCATCAATACATGGCTTGAAGGCCTAGAAAAGAAGCTTGAATTGGCGATTGTTACCAGCCACCGGCGATTGAATTTCTTCATCTTGGTAGCGAGGCGAGAAAATGGTTCCAGGGTTAGACACCTCCAACGCCAAAATCAATTTGGGAAGGAATGCATATGATTCTTCCCAGTCACCAAACACGGCAGCCATTGCTTTCTGTTTCCCATGCCACGCTTTCTTGTAGTTAATGATATAACCATAACGACTAGAAATGTGGGCGATGATGGTTTTCACCTTCAGGTCGGGCTGCTCCTCAATTAGATGTTTGATAGCCGCGGCAACCACCCTTGATTTCAACTGCCGATGGCCTTGGGATGTTATTGATGACACACGTGTGTGTGTGTTCACCGCACGGGATATGACCCAATGGCCGACTCTCTTGCTCTTGATGGCCCGGACCCTAGCTGTGCATCCCTCATTGTGGTTTTTGCATCGAACCATCAGCCTATTTGTGTCGGATTGGGTTGTCTGCCATTCAAAACTCCGAGTCATTGCTTCAGTGGAAATAGCGTGTCGAACCTCATTCTTCGTTGCAAATTGTTGGCCCTTCGTAAAGCCAGTTAGTGGACCCCATACTGGCACATCTGGCGGGTCCATGTCGGTATCAACATACCAATCTTCACTTTGAGTGTGATTGTAGTATGGAATAGGTACACGGTCGTGAGGTACCTCATCACCATCTGCGTCTGAATCTGGACCGGAATCATCAGCACCTTCCAGCGGATCGGAGCTGTCTGCACTAACTGGACTTGGATTGACCTCTTCTTCCATCTGATTATCAGCATGAAAGGCACATTGACCTTCACTAGCTCCGTAATGGTAGTTGTGGTAACTAACACCGCTTTGATAGAAGTTGTACTCGGGTGGGTACTGGTAGCCTGCTTGTTGGTTGTAATCCGCTTGTTGAGCTTCTTCTTCATATGAAGGGAAGGATTGATGACTTCCTCCAGTTCCATGATGATACTCCTGACTCCAACTCGAGTCTTGGAAATCATGGTGGGGATGATCTTCGTATAATACACTCCCACCGTGGATACCAGATGTTTGGCCATCTCCAGAATGACCTACACTGCCTTCGACGGCCTCGGTGTAAACGAACATCTCCGCTTGCTTAATTTTATTGGTGGTCAAAAATTGGACCATGGCATCAACGTCCTCCTGAGTGGTAAGGAGGAATTCCTCATACCACAGCGACCCTTCATGTCTGTTTGGATATCGATACACCATTCGATCAACTCTTCTAGTGCCATCCATGCAGGTTATCTAAGTGCACATTTGATGGAGCTCTTCAAGCATCGGTCTCGTACGGACCTTCATTTTATGAAAATTGCCACCGACGTAACTTACACCCTTTTCGGTCTCTTCCGTGTAACCATTCCACCGCAACCCAAGCGTGAACCTTTGGAATGCCATCTGCAATGAAAAGTAACACAAGTTACTAACATAACATCACAAAGAAAAATGAAAAGTAATTCAAATTACTAACATAAAATCACAAATGACAATGAAAAGTAACACAAGTTACTAACATAACATCACAAAGGACAATGAAAAGTAATTCAAATTACTAACATAAAATCACAAATGACAATGAAAAGTAATTAAGTTACTAACATAACATCACAAAGGACAATCAAAAGTAATTAAGTTACTAACATAAAATCACAAAGGACAATGAAAAGTAATTAAGTTACTAACATAAATCACAAAGACAATGAAAAGTAATTACGAAACAAACTTACGAATTAACGTTAATCGCAAAAATTAAATAATCTAAAGGTGCAAAGATGAAATTTGAGGAAGGAAGTGTGAAGAATTGAGTTCTCCGAAACACCCTTTTATAGGCAAATTTTGCAGCAAAACCGCTTGGGGGGGGGGGGGGGGGAAGCGGTTTTATGTCTGCCATGCAGCCCTACCCCTGCATGCCGACATGTCCAACATGTCGGGTGTCGGGTGACCAGGCACAAACCGCGCCTCGGGGGAGCGGTTTGTGTCCTGACATTGTAAACTGCCCCTTTGTCATGCGGTTTGTAATGCCGACATTTAAACGCTCCCTCTTAAAGCGTTTTGTGGTAGGGTTAGCCTATAACCGCGCGTCCCAGAAGCGGTTTTCTCTGGAAATTAAAAACGCGCGTCCAAGGCGCGGTTATATGGGAAAACGCAGCCTAGAGGCGCGGTTTCATTAAAAACCGCTGATCAGAGGCGCGGTTTTATATAAACGATGGTATTTTTGGAAATTATTTGGTGAGGGTGGTATTTTTGTAATTTTTTTTTAAACAGTGGTAGTTTTGGATTTTTTCCTTGATTATGAGGACGGCGAATCCACTATGCTGAAAATTGAGTCGCGATTCAATTTTCAAGAACTCTGTGATATTTGTGCAGACATGGTTTGTACGAGCGGACAGACGAGACTTGACAAAATTATTTATCGGTATCCAGACATGAGTGCTGGCGGGGTCATGTACCAAGAAGTTGTCATAAACGATGATGACGCGGTTACGATGATGTTACCGTTCCTAAGCGATAACCCAGTGCGGCTTGCAGAGGTGTATGTTGAGACCGAGGCGGTCGGTGAATCTCATTCTCACCAGTATTCTTATGATGATGGTTTTGCAAGAGGGTACGGATGGGGCGGTAGTTCGAGCAACTACGAAGGCGGTGGTTATACAGGAGGTTACGGAGAGGGTGGTAGTTCAAACAACTACGGTGGAGGTAGTAGTGCAGGATGAGTGCTAGCAGATCAATGGCACCTTGCAGAACCACGTCTCGTGATCCAGAGGGTGTCTAAGATGATGCAGGTCAACCACTTCACGTGGATATGGATCCCTATAACCTATATTCATTCAAAATTCGGAATTAACGACCATTTACATTGAAAAAATTTAACTTGTTCAAATATGGACAGAACATGATTACCTGATTCCACCAAGGTTTATCTAACTCAGAACGATAAAACAGTAACGAATGCTCAGGTTGATGGTCATTCGTATTTGCTCCTATCCACCTTGTAAGTAAAAGTATGGAATCAATTTAATTGAAATATAGCTAAGCATGTAATAAATTTAATATGGGCTAAGTACGGAGTAAATTCAAATTAAATATAGCTAAGCATATAATAAATTAAATTAGTCTAAGTACGGAATAAATTCAAATTAAATATAGCTAAACATATAATAAATTAAATTAGTCTAAGTACGGAATAAAATCAAATTAAATCTAGCTAAGCATATAATAAATTAAATTAGTCTAAGTACGGAATAAATTCAATTTAAATCTAGCTAAGCATGTAATAAAATTTAAATTGGCTTAAGTACGGAATAAACTTACTTGACACCGTAGGGGGGATTTTGCAGAAAGTTTAGCTCATCATCGTTTCTCCGGTATGGACGTGGGTCGAGAGGTGCGAACATTGGAAGATGCTCCCATACCCACAGTTGTAGGATGAATATCGCAGCACCAGCTTGCTTTGCTCCCACTTTCGAGCAAGTACACAGCTCCCGGTATACTCCCGCTAGCACGGCCGATCCCCAACTCTTTTCCCCGATTGCATCCCAGTCACCAGTGAGCAATTCCAACCATATGCCTTGAATCCACCGGTTCGACTTGTCGGGGAACAGAAATCCACCCACCAAACCAATGAGGTAGATGCGGGCGTAGCGCTCCACTTGTTCTTAAGGAGTCTCGTCATTGATTTCCACCTCAGCCTGGATGTGAGTTACCAGCCACGGGACCGACACTTGCCCCGCATTCAACGGTGGATGCCCCCGTCCTTGAATTGGTGTGGTGGTCGGCATGTCAAAGCCCAAACGATCACGAATGAGCGACCCCCAACCTCCTTCGGGTTTGGTAGTGGAACCAATGATGGCATCTCCAGAAATAGGCAGCCCGGTGAGGATCGCCACGTCTTTGAGGGTGATCGTCATTTCCCACTCCGCAAGGTGGAACGTATGGGTTTCGGAACGCCATCGCTCCGCCAATGCCGTAAGAAGATCGTTGTCGATTTCGATCCGCATGAAATGGCGCAACATTCCCAAACCGGTCCTCTCTATATAAGGCGCCAACCTTGGATGCCAAGCGGGCAAGTTCGTGGTCCCTTTATGAACCACGGGAACAAGTGATTCCTACAAAAAATAAGAAAAATATCAATTTATTAGATTAAATAAAGCAAAATAAAACCTTAGAAAATAATAAAATAAAGCAAATAAATCATCAAATTACCGGATTGTTATCCCAAATAGCACGGGAGCGATGAGCTTCTTGATCGGTTAAGAGACTCATATCTCTTGGCCCATAATGGATATACAATCGAAGATCGTATATCTCGGCACCCATCTATAAAAAAAAGTAATGAAATCAGAGATTGTTTTGATAAAAAAATAATCACAAAATCAAATTGTTTCAATTAAAAATTAAAACACAAAAAAAAAACCTACACGAAGAGCCTCTTCGTCCATTTTTTGGCAGAAGCCGGACAAAGGTTCGATGGGTTCGGGTTTGTAATGGACGGGAGCTTAGTGGGATGGGGGCTTTAGGGTCAAACTCTAGTAATTCTTTCTGATGTGGAAGATCGGACTTAGCCGCAACCACAGAGCATACTTAGAACGAGACTAGAGCGGATAAATTGAGGGAGAAAGAAGTGAAATGGTTGTGGTGTGAGTTGTAAGTGGGGGAGAAGAGTCTATTTATAGTTGGGGGAAGGGATCAGCCGAATTAATTCTGGGGGGGCATTCACCGCCTCTGCCAGAAACGGTGAAGGCATCGCGTTTCTCGAGGATGGTGAAAGGGCGCGGATCGAGCGAAGTGGCTTAGCATGACGCGTCGGATCCGGGAAGAAAACCACGATCCGCGCCTCACCGCATCCGACGGCCACGGTGAACGCGTCAGCGACGCGGATCGCTGAGGCAAACAAACACGAGATATTCACCGTGTTTGTTTAACGCGGTGAATACCCCACGTTTGTCCACGTCAGCGATCCGCTTTGCTTCATCGTGGCCAATCAACGCTGTTTAAATGTCACCGAAACGGTGATTGATTCACCGTGTCAGTCTAAAACGGTGATTGTCTCGCTGGTTGTTCACCGTTTTAGATGAAGACGGTGAATACGTCACCGTTTTTATTTTAAACGGTGAACAATTCACTGTCTTTGTCAAACGCGGTGATATTCTTCACTGCGTTTGTCAAAAACGGTGAATGCCAAACATGTGTATTTTGGGAAAAAAATTTATAACTTATGTATTTTGGGAATTTTTTTTAAGAACATGTGTACAGTGGGATTTTTTCCGGATATATGAGGGTTTTGGACTCATTATGGATTTGAAAAACACTATTGTTTGTTTCATGAATTTTATGATGGATTTTGTTAATTAAATATGTTTGCATAAAGTGAAATTTACCTTTGTTGCCCTCAATGATTTAAGAAGAGAAAGAAAATATGAGGGTAGGTTGGTAAAAAATGATGGACTTTAAAGTCCATCATCAATTCCCACCTAAAAAGATAAGATTTTCAAGTTTGTGCGATCCACGAATTTGGACTCTCAAAGTCGATAGGTTCTATGGATCCAAATCATTCACCAAACCATCATGCCGCGAAAGACTTCATTTTGTAATGAAATATCTACTAAAGTGGTACAAAAGTGAAAAGGCCAACTTAGCGGGAAACAACGGAAAAAATCCCAAATTACACATGTTTTTAAAAAAAATTCTCAAAATACACAAGTTATGAAAATAATTCCCAATCTACGTTACTTTGGGCCATCACCGCTGTCGACGAAGATAGTGGTTGCATCACTGTTGTCGACGAAGACAGTGATTGCATCACCGCTGTCGACGAAGACAGTGATTGCATCACCGCTGTCGACGAAGACAGTGATTGCATCACCGCTGTCGACGAAGACAGTGATTGCATCACTGCAGTACACGGCCGCGGTGAAGGCCTGACCTGCATCGAAACTTTAAACAAACGTAACTTTGTGCTCGGTTATCCGATTGTAGCGAAATTTTTTTTGATTCCGCATAATTTTTCGAGATCTTGCAAGCCGCAAATTGCCGTAGGCGGTTTGGTCCCGCCTTCGTCTCGAAAATATGTCGTTTGCTACCCCGAACGAGCCTTTTTTCGATTTCGTCAAACTTTGAATGACCATAACTTTGTGCTCCAAAATCCGAAAATCATGAATTTTTTTTTTGATTTCGCATAACTTTTTAAGGACTACAATATTTAGTAGGAGAGAATTTTCAAAAAATGAATTATTTATGGATATAAGGGGTTTTGGGAATAACTTTACCTTCCTTTTCAGGAATCCAAGTACATTCCGAAAATATGTCTATGATAAAAATTGTAGTCCTTAAAAAGTTATGCGAAATAAAAAAAAATTCATGATTTTCGGATTGTGGAGCACAAAGTTATGGTAGTTCAAAGTTTGACGAAATCGAAAAAAGGCTCGTTCGGGGTAGCAAACGACATATTTTCGAGACGAAGGCGGGACCAAACCGCCTACGGCAATTTGCGGCTTGCAAGATCTCGAAAAATTATGCGGAATCAAAAAAAATTTCGCTACGATTGGATAACCGAGCACAAAGTTACGTTTGTTTAAAGTTTCGACGCAGGTCAGGCCTTCACCGCGGCCGTGTACTGCAGTGATGCAATCACTGTCTTCGTCGACAGCGGTGATGCAATCACTGTCTTCGTCGACAACAGTGATGCAATCACTGTCTTCGTCGACAGCGGTGATGGCCCAAACTAACGTAGATTGGGAATTATTTTCATAGCGTGTGTATTTTGAGAATTTTTTTTAAAAACATGTGTAACTTGGGATTTTTTCCGGAAACAACTGCCTTAGGGTAAAATACATTATCACCCCCGGCGGCGGTTTCCCGGCGAAGATGCGGCCAAAGCCAATAGCCAATATATAGTTATATACATTACCCTAGGGACGACACCGTTGCGGCTTTTCCTATTTTTATGTTTTCGTTTATTTCGACTAGGAAGAAATTCTATCCTCTTTAGTCTTTATCTCCCGCTAAAGAGCTTATCGAGTCTTAAGTGAGTCACTGACTCGTAGCTACGAGTCAACCCAGTATACTCTTAAACCCCTAAAGGCTGAGACTTTGAGCTGCAAGGAGTAAAACCCCTCCAGGATTATCTTACAGTGCACAACGCGGAGAAAGATAGTCAGGAGGAGCATCATCCATGGCGTCCCTTTCTTTTGCTCACTTCCCTTACTTGCCCAGGTTCTTCTTTCTTTTATCACTTTTCACTTCCAGCTCGGCCAGTAGTTTGAAATGTTGTCTAGGAGTGATGGGTAGCATTTTGCGGGTGATTTCTTAGTTGCGCAATGAATTAACTTATCTTCAATTCTCATGCTTAAGCTTAATATTTGGTGATTTCGCTTTGAGGGTTCTAAGTTTTGTGCTAGTAATCTGTTTGGCCATCTGTGAAATGTTACAGATTAGTGAACTTGGTTTCTTTCTGCAGTTGGCAGTCAACTAGGACAAATCATCAGCCAGTGAGCTATGCCCAACTCCAGGACATTAGATTTCGGAATAGGCTGAAGAAAATTGCAGCCATTTCAGGTGACGAAGGAGCAACTGAGAATGGGCGAGTTGTGAAGAAGAAGAAGGCTACCAAGACAACTAAACGAGCCACCACGCGAACCAAGAAGAAACCAGTGGTTGCTGATGGTGCTTCAGAGGAGGAGGATTCAGATACTGATGATGTTCTACATGTGGAAGCAGTTCGATCTGTACCCGGTGAATCTTACAGGAAAGGAACTAGGATTACAAGAAAAAAAGGTACTCTCGCACATCTTGAATTACTTGGAACCCTAACGAAGATTTGTTTATTCCAATTTTAACTTACGAATACTATTTAGCGCAGCTCTATCTGCTTCTGTTGAAACGGAAGAAGAGAAACCCGACAAGAAAGTTAGGAGGGGGCGGAAGGCGAATAAGAAAGATGAGATTGTGAAGGATCAGAGCAATGAGTCTGATGTTAGTGATGTGGATGGGGAAGGTTCATTTGTTTCCAACAATGTGGAGGATTCGAGCGACGATGGAGATCTAGACTTCTTGGATAAAGATGAAGGGGAGGACATAAGCCACACTTATGGTTGGCCACCACTTGTTTGTTGCTTTGGAGCTGCACAACATGCTTTTGTACCTTCAGGGAGGCGAGCTAACCGGCTTTTGAACTATGAGATCCATGACAGGATGAGAGATGCGTATTGGGAGCCCGAGAATTTTGTGAGGGCACCCGGAGGATGTGCTGGTGGTGTGGCGGTTGCTCTTGCGAGCCTGGGTGGTAAAGTTGCTTTCATGGGGAAATTGGGAGATGATGACTTTGGTCAGGCTTTGCTGTATTATATGAATGTGAGCAAAGTTCAGACGCGTTCAGTGAGGATGGATGGTAAAAGGGCAACAGCAGTATCACATATGCGGATCGCTAAGAGAGGGCGCCTCCGGATGACTTGTACAAGACCTTGTGCAGAAGATTGTTTAACCAAGTCTGAGATAAATATAGATGTGCTCAAGGAGGTAAATAATTATGTATGTGGTGCCTTTGTTTTGGTTCTCCGAGAACGTCGCAATATTCTATCCTTGAATTGTTTGAATTGTCTGCTTGTTTCGTGGTCTGACCTTCTGAGAAAGCATTGCAACAAGGAGAAGTCTGATTCTTTTTCCACACTTCTTGATTTTGTAAGGGAACCTTTGTTCCTTCTGCATTTCTGCTTTGCATTCCATTCAGGGGTTGTTTAGGTTATTCGTGCTTTTTTTATGCACTTCATATATTGAATTGGCTTCTTTATATTTATCATAGCTTGGACAAAGTTCCATGTGCCTTGCTTTTTCTGGCTAGCTAGACATGCTTGACAGGTTCTCATGGTGATTTCCCGTAATTTTTGTGCAGGCAAAGATGTTCTACTTCAACACACATCCTCTGCTCGAGAGAAACATGAGATCATCTACTCTGCGGGCGATTAAGATATCACAAAAGTTGGGAGGAGTTATTTTCTATGACGTAAACCTCCCAATGCCACTGTGGCAGTCTAGTGAGGAAACCAAGGAATTCATACGAGACGCATGGAACCTTGCTAATGTTATAGAAGTAACCAAGCAAGAACTTGAGTTTCTGTGCGGGATAGAGCCCACTGAGGAATTTGATACAAGAAACAACGATGTATCTAAGTTTGTCCATTATGAGAAAGAAGTAGTTGACCAGCTTTGGCATGAAAATCTTCAAGTCTTGTTTGTAACCAATGGTACTTCTGAGATACACTACTACACCAGAGAGCACAATGGTTCGGTTCTTGGCATGGAGGACCCTCCTCTTACTCCTTTCACCTCTGACATGTCTGCATCTGGAGATGGCATTGTTGCAGGTACATGGATGGGATAATCTTTCAATTTCTAGTTTCTCCATGGATCCTTTTTCAGCCACACTGAGTTGGCTCGTGTTCTTTGGTGATTCCAGGTATGTTGAGAATGTTGTCAGTTCAGCCACACCTCATTACTGATGAAGGCTACTTGAAACGCTTGATCCGATACGCAATAGACTGTGGAGTCATAGACCAATGGATGCTTGCAAGAACACGCGGGTTCCCTCCGCATGAAGAAATGGAAGACGAAGAAATTGAACCTGATGCGAGTGGTATGAGATCAATTACTGAGCAGGAACACAGGACGGTGTTGTCACCAAGCCAGTAATCTTACATTTTTCTTTTTCGACAGGGCCGGTTTTCTATTTTATTACCCTTTGTAAATCAAAGTTGAGTAGTTCTCAGGGTTCTTGGCCTCTGGTTCTTGATTGAACCATGTAATACAAACCTTATTTTTGCTGAGCTAAAAGAATCTTTCTTGACAAATTTAAGAGGTATCTTCTGATTTATCACATTCGCAGGTTACAGGGGCCAAGTGGCCTGGCCCTACCTTCAAGTAGCAAAATTATATAATGCAAGGAAAAAAACAGCATTGCTGACCCACCTGGGAGTATCTCTGGTCAGTTTTGATTATTGTTGGCCATACAAATTATGCAAACCCCACACACTAAAGTAGTCATTTCCCTGAAAGAGATAATTGGGGCTGTTCCCATCAAGAATTTGATATTGTGATGACAATGAAGAGTAGGTGATGCATTGAAAACTAATCATGAATGTGAACTTCAGAATGATGTCAAGCTTAGCCTGATATTCTCATTTATCTTGTTTTTTCCTGTATAAAATAGAAGTGAGCATTATTATCAGTTCCATAAACTATTGACTAAATCAAGTTTATTAAGCTGACAACTTATCAGCTGATTTATGACAAGTGGAGATTACGTGTCATGGTTATCAGGAAGAAAATGCAAGTTAAGCCATGTTAAAATCTTATTGCACCTGTTCTCCATGGAAGTTGAAACTTACTAACTGAACTCTTCAGTAACATAATCTTAGAAATGAAGCTACAGAGACACCAAAAGGATTAGAAGGCTTTGCACTAAAGCCCCATCATTTTATTCTTAGTACAAAAAAGGGGGATAGATAATCACACTTCTTTCTCCAACTCAGATTAGAGAATAGAATGGCCAAAATGGAGAGATGTATGCCAACAGCAAAAGCATAGCAGAAGGCAAGTAAAAGGAAGAAGGACCATTGGAGTTGAATCCCACTTCTTTACTACCTACTAAAACATACACATTGCAACAAATTGAGCTCTCTTCTGCCCTTCCTCTATTCTGCATGAGAACCTTGGAGCTTCGAAGTAGCTAACTTGTCCAAGAACCAGACCAACTTCCCATTCCTCGGCTGCACCATTCTTGCAGGCAGTGAAGTCTTGCCATCATCAGGTTCAGTTTCATCAATCGCCAAGTGTACAGCCTCCGCTTTGCTTTCGCCTGCTGCAACTACTGCCACGTTGGAAGCCGAGTTGATGACAGGTAAAGTGAATGTGATTCTCTCCGGTGGAGGTTTAGGAGAATCGGTAATGAATGTAACCCACTCATCTTGCTCGATGAGCGCAGAGTGGTTAGGAAATAGAGATGCTACATGACCATCAGGTCCCAGACCAAGAAGCACAAGGTCAAACTTAGGGCAGTCACTGATGTCAGACACATCGACTGTCCTCATTTTCACCAGCTGTCGGATGGCAAACTCGTACTCATCGGCTGCCTCCTCTGCCGAGACTGAGTCATTTATCGAGTGTATATGACTTGGAACAATTGGAACCTGCAATAGCACGACAGTGTGAATATTTCTCTGTGCATCATCCATTCTATAGAGTGTTTTTGAGTTATGACAATCGATGAAAATGTCTGACTTGGAAGGTAAGCAAAACAGCAGGAAAGGGTTTCAACAAGGTGTTTTGGGAGGCAGACGGCGAGTGATATACCTTGGACAAAAGGTTATCTTTTGCTAACTTATAATTGCTATCAGCATGGCTCTTTGAAACCACACGTTCATCTACCCAAAATATGTACCATTTAGCCCAGTCTACTGTCTTGCTATAAGGAGCTTCACAGAGTTTCCTGTTACACACCCACCATGGAAATTGTGAAGTAAGAATCAACAGATTGTAAAACAGCAAAACACAAAACCCATCAAGCATAAATGAAAAGGAATAAAAATTTACCCCATGAGACCAATGAGAGAACCACCAGACAAGGCAATGGCAAATGCTCCTCTCTCTTTCACACAAGCCTCAGATAGTTCAGCAATATAGTCTGCCAAATCTGTGCTCAGCTCATCCAAGCTCTCATGAATCCTCACTTCTCCTCTTTCTTTATGAACCCCAGAAAGAGCCATCCTTTAAGAAAAAAAGATTGCAGAACAGCTCAGTTAATACCAAGATATTGACAGTAAATAGAACAATACCAGGAAGCAAAGTCCAGCTATCATTGTTTCCTGATAATTGATTTGAGAAATAAAGAGTTCATGAATTTATATCACTTTCCATTTCGCTTGATTAATATTTAATACCCATCCAAATTAACTGAAGTTTATGAACCCTCTCTTAGCCCAAATAGTAACACTTCCAATTAACATCAGAATGTCAAACCCAGCACTAACTGTGATCATCACAACCAGAAGATCAATGCAAGGGGAAACAGAAGCCATTACAAGAAACAAGAACAGTAACCCACAAAATTCCATCCGAAGTAGTACATTAACCAGAGGGGATTTCACCATGAGAAAAAGGCATATGCCCAGATCATCAAACATCCTCAAGAAAAATATGGAAAACAGAATTACACAAGACAGAAACCCACCAAGATCCCAAAATTCTTTTCCCAGACAAAGGGGAAAGGACCATCAATTTCAAGAAGAGGAAAGCTGCAAAGAAGAAGAGGAAGGAGAACGGGGAGGGAAGAGGAAACAGACAGATAGTTTGCCTGAAAAAAGAATGGAGGAAGAAATCCCCGTCAAAAGACACTGACTTGAAGGGGGAACAGGGTGAACCTTACAGCAAGCGATAGCGAAATAATAATACAGAATACATATATAGTTATTATATAAATAACAGATTCTTCGGTCCAACTGTTCTTATTAATACTGGCTCTTGTAATTTGGACAAAAGAACAGAACTTTTTTTAACCTTCTGGGTAGAGCAGCAGATGGTAGCAAGTAGCAACAAAAGGAAGAAGAAGACTAGAAGTTGAGAGGAGAATTTTTTTAACCTTCCGGGTTTCCAGTTTCCACGTGCAGCCAATGATCGAGACAAATCACACAAAATACATTGAAAGTGGATATAAACAAATTATTACCGCGCTCCTTTTCTTTCTTCAACTTCTAAAATCAAAGTAAATGTAAAACTTTGCCCTACTTTAATATAAAAAGACTCATATATGAAATAAATTATATCATCATAACATAATTCACATATGAATGGTTTAGGGTGATTACTTGGCAACCTCTTTATATACCATTAGATTTCATATTATTCATTCTTTTTTAATCTTAAGGTCAAGATTCTCTTAGGGTAATTTTGAAAATGAAAAAGTGACCACACCCGATTATTCTATATAATCTACGCAAACCCTAGTTCTACCCTCCCTCCAGCCAAACCCGCAGCAGCTGCCTCCACCACTCCGTCGCACTAATCTCGCCTGCCGCCTACACCAGCCCCTCCCCTCGGCACCCCCGACGACCATCCTCGATGACAACGATGCCTACAGCGGGCCACCATTCCCTCGGTCACCCTTCTGCCGTCGTACTCGAATCTCTCATCCTCCCTCATCCCTCTTATTCTCATCTCCTTAGTCCCTCCTCTTCCTGCCTCCCCAATTCGTTTATTCAGATCCCTCCCTCTCAATACCGGCGACATTGATTTTAGATCCTCCGGCATTCACGTTCGTTTCCCACCGCAATCAACATTGATTACAGCTTTGCTTCTGCAGGTAATCTAGAATGGTAGTGTTTGCATTGGCAGAGGATTTGCTTTGGTAGCTACCTTGTATTTTATTTTGGTACGATTTGCATTATGCTTTGGTAGTGTTTGCATTATGCTTTGGTGGTTACCTGCATTTTCTTTGGTAGTGTGTGCATTACGCTTTGGTAGTTACCTGCATTTGTGTTGGTTAGATGGAGCATTATGCTTTGGAAGTTATCTGCATTTGGTTTGGTAGTGCTTGCATTATGCTTTGGTAGTTACCTGTATTTGTTTTGATAGTGTTTGTATTGATTTATTTATGCAATGGTATAGTTTTGATTTCACAGTAGTAGTGGTATTGGTTGTTTTGGTATTTGTTTGACTTTTGTAATGATATAGATTGTTTATATTGGTAGTTTCCGTGTAATGGTATAGATTTATTTCTGCAATGGTATTGATGTTTTTCAAAATAGTAGTGGTTGTCTAATGGATTGGTAGTGATTTCGTGTTTTTGCTTTTGCAGAAAGATTGAGAAAAATATGGAAAGGAGATCTGGTTGGAGATTATGGAAGTGAGAGAAAGAGAAAGAATTGTAATTAATAGATTTTTGTAACTATCTAAAATGTAATTTATTAAAATAATTTATTTTCCATACACAATTTGTTTTTAGTAACCACGGTGATTTCTACTTTTGTAGTAATCACCGTAACCGCTCCCTATTCACATAACATAAATATCATATTCCTATAAGAATATATGATGTTTGAATATGATATTTGTATTACGTGAATATGTTATTTGTTTAGAAGAATATGGTATTTGTTTTAGAAGAATATGGTATTTGTATTACATGAATATGATGTTTTAATTACTCTCATAAAAATATTGTATTTGTGTAATGAGAATATGCTATTTGTATTTATTTGTTTTAGAATAATATGATGTTTGAATAGCGGAATGGTCAATCTCGATCCGAACCATGTAAAATACGATTGTTAGTACCAGGTACGACCATGTAGAATAGGATGGTCCATACCAAACTGAGAGGAGGGGAAGGCGAGGGGCAATTCATTAAGGGCATTTAGAACTTTTTATATCAATTTAGGGCGATGATTAATAAAAAGTAGGGCAGTGAATAACAATCCTCTAGATAAATCACACATTCATAAATATGAGAGAGATTTATAATTTATAACAAATATTCAATCTCAACTAATAAAACATATTTTGGGGTGAAATGGATGAGTTATTGGAAGAACTCTAAAGTTAAACGTGTTCAGTGTGGAGCCGTGCAAAAATGGGTGATCTAACGGAAAGTTATCATGATGCACCAAAAAGCAAAACCATGAAGGAACATGCCCAAAGCAAACAATATATTGGTCAGAAAAAGCAGGATGTTACAAGTGGTATCAGAACCTCCATGTCCCTCTTGGGTGATGGTGGGGCAGCAAACCTCAATGAGTACGTTGAGCCCAAAAGGGGGTGTATGTTGATTAGGAAAATCTCACATTGACAAATCACGAGAGAGATCTATGATTCATAAGGAATATGCATTTTGGGGTGAAACTAGATGAGTTCATGTAAGAACTTTGAAGTTAAACGTGCTCAGTGTGGAACAGTGCAATGATAGGTAACCACATAGGAAGTCATCATGATGCGTCCAAAAGCAAAATTGTGTTGGGGTAAATCAAAGAGGAGAATATTTTGATCATAAGGGTCGGGATTTTAAACTTCTTCGTTATTAAAAACTTCTTCCAAAATTGTTAAAGATAAAAGTAAATGGATAAATATTGAACTCTCTTCTTTTTCTCTTCCATTGATTTCTTCGTTTACCAATTTGTGAGATATTGGTGGTGAGCTTCCTTGGTGGAGTCTCTTGATGACACATGAAAGTATCTATACCAGACCCCCGTATTGTGATCAAAAGTGCATACATTCTCATCATTAGCATCATAATACATTGAATTATAACTATGATTACTTCAAGTGTGTTGTAGAAACCCTAAGATTGCTTTTATATGATTGTTACGCTTTTGGTAGCGTTCTGTGCATTTTTAGGGCAAAGCAGTCTAGTGGACCACTTGGAAGACGTAGGGAACATCGAGACCAAGTTGTTTGAGCTAGGATTCGAAGACCAGACGCCTGGGTGAAACGGCGCCAGGAGTTCCTTTTGATGAAGGAAAAGGGCGACCACGGTGCCCTTTTAGGGAGCTTGTCCACTTCATTACGAAGCATCCTGATTCGCTGGCCACGTGTTTGGAGCACTCTGATTGGCTGGATGACGCAAGAGCTGCGAGGTTTGCTCTTCAAAAGCATAATATGTAGAAGATCTATAAATAGGGCTCTAGAGGTAGAGTTCGAGAGGAGCAGGCGAGAGGTCAAGAAATGGTCGTTACTCTGTCGACATAGCAACCTTTCTGACTTAGAACGAGACCACCCTACGAGGGAGAATCGGCGCCCAAAATGACATCCTTGGGCCTGTTTTCTCTGTTCCGGGCGCCAATTCCAGTGGGCCTCCTAGTGTCTTCATTTCCATGATGAACGCCCAAGAATCCCTTACATTGGCTGGCTAAGTTCTTTAGTTTCTTAGGTATGTGAACCCTAGGGGTTCTAACCATGTAAACTAGATGATTTGGTTTAATACGATTGTTTGATTTTCATATGTGTGATGTTTGATTTTCCTATATTTTGTTATTTGTCGATTTGAATGGGAGCTTAAGACGACATTGCACTCCTTCGAGGTGAAAGGGTCGAAATACAAGTCATTTTGGATGGGTCTAGACTATAGAAATAGCAGTCCTACTCGATCAATCTTCATTCGATCAAACAGTGTGATTCCTCAAGGGAGAAATCCGAAGGGTCCTTGTTGCCCATTAGTTCGGGTAAATGCTTCAACACAAGGTGGGATCTAATGAGATAAGAAATTGGCATCTCATATGTTACTAATCATCGAGGGCACATGGTTAGGACTTAGGAGACTTGGAGGGAGCTTGCACATGCAACGCCTTTCTTCTTTGATCTCTCGCTTGTTAACTAGCTTATGCTTATCAATTACTTTTCTGCACCGTTTTGCTTTCCAAACTGCGAAACTTGAGGACTTCAACCTCCACAAATCGAACTTTTTTTTCAATAGAACCGCACCTCACTTTCGAAGTAAGGGTTCTACGAGAGGCATGAAGGAATACGATCCTGGCCTTAGGGCCAAGTAAATTTGGTACTGACACTATAGTGGACATCACCTCTAGCACCATTGGTGACAGTCACTGTTGGACTTCACTATTTGGTATTTTGCTGGAAATCGTATTTGTAGATTTGTATTTACGAAGGCACCAAGCTTTGGGAGTATAGTCTTGTTGGAAAATTCATGAATAAGTTTTCATCTATCTCGGTACTGCAATATTGGACCAATTAGTTATAGGGAGGGTGGAGCAGTTACGATATTGTGTTTGGGAGAGTAGTTGTTGTTGTTCCACTTCCCGGTGATGATTATATGCCAATGGATGTTCGAAGGGGGACTATGGCACCACGCAACACAATATGTTGTTCTTGCACTTTTGGGATATGAATCTTAGATATAGATAACTCGATTGTTCTTGTCTGGTGGAACTCTCTAGATTGCCTTTGAAATTATTCTAGTAGGAGGGACTCAAATTTTTTTCCAGTTTTACAGCTAAACCAATATGCATGGACCTTCCCAAAATGCAAGGACAAGGCTTGGTTGAACAACATATGTGCTAAATTGAGTACTTCTACAAAAAGAATGGATAAGCTGAGTATTACACCGGATGGGTTGCCTGAGGTTCTGGTCTGTACGTGGGCACCGGGCCGTGCCGCCCACGGGCTAGCACGGCACGGCACGGTTAGAGCACGAGCACAAGCACGAAATAAATGGGCCAGCCCGGCACGAGCATGAATAATTTATGGGCCGTGCCGGGCCTAAACTTCATGGGCACGGGCACGAGCACGGGCACGGCACGGTATATAAGTGGGCCGTGTCGGGCCTAATATTTCCGAGACTTTATTGAGTATAAGAACGGACATGGCACGAAAATAATATTTATTTGATAGAAAATAAGTATAAAAAGAATTATAGGTTCAAATATTACAAAACACAAGTAGAAAAATAATTATTTGTTGTTGTTAGAAGTGTCATACAGATATATACGTAATTACTAACATAAGAAAAAATGGACAAAGAATTAAACAAAGCCAAATCACACTCGCTATACTTTAAATTTTCTTTTTCCCCCCTATTTGTTACTTTTCTCAAACATTATCGGTTTATACTATCTTCCGCCGTCCAATTTTCACCTTCTTTTTCATTCTCTCTTTTGTTTTCGTCCTTTTCATTAA